TTTTGGTATGTATTTGCTGGGGTACATTTGGAAAATAAATCTCAAATGTCTTTTCCTTTTTAATTAAATTAAAGGATCAGCAGTCTTGAAGAAGAAAAATAAAATGCAAATTGGATGACTGATTATTAATTTCATTTATGAGTCAAACAATGCAGCCACATTCTTAAAATGAAAAAGCATTTCTGAAAATGCCTTTTCCTTCGAAATATGGTAACGATTTGCTTCCATACAGGAGCGCCTTGAAAATGGTCAGATCCGCCTCTCTGGCTGCAATGCGCGCTCCCGACACAGGGAAACAGAATTTCGCTCCTGCAGCCTCCGCCCTCTGCTCCTTTCTTGGAGCTCCTGCAGCCTCCGCCCTCCGCTCCTCTCCTGGAGCTCCTGCAGCCTCCGCCCTCCGCTCCTCTCCTGGAGCTCCTGCAGCCTCCACCCTCTGCTCCTCTCCTGCAGCCTCCACCCTCTGCTCCTCTCCTGCAGCCTCCGCCCTCTGCTCCTTTCCTGCAGCCTCCGCCCTCCGCTCCTCTCCTGGAGCTCCTGCAGCCTCCGCCCTCCGCTCCTCTCCTGCAGCCTCCGCCCTCTGCTCCTCTCCTGGAGCTCCTGCAGCCTCCACCCTCCGCCCCTCTCCTGCAGCCTCCACCCTCCGCTCCTCTCCTCATCATGACATCCGGCGCTCCGCTGCTGGCGCACAGACCCAGGAGGAGCCTGCTCTACAAGGCGCTCTGCTTTCTCCTCCTCTTCTTCCAGGGAGGCATCTTGGACTTCTACCTCATCCTCTTCACCGACCTGTACTGGTGCTCCTGGATCGCCACGGACCTGGTGGTGATCTGCGGCTGGGGGGTTTTCTTCCTGAGGAACGCCCGGAGCCAGAGGGAGCGCGCCTGCGGGTTCCACCTGAAGGGCTCCAGCTCCGGCTGCAGCCTGGGAGAGTTCACCTACGCCTACCTGGCCTGGCTCATCTACGGCATCGCCTGCGCCCCGAAGGTGGTGGTGATCCTGGAGACCTCCATCCTGGAGCAGATCGCGCTGCAGGTGCCCTGCGGGGTGACCGGCTTTAAGGTGACGGTGCTGCTGTCGGTGCCGCTGCTCTTCTGCCTCATCAGCTCCATCGTGGTGCATGTGAACGGGCCGAGCCACCACCGCTCCCACAGCTGCTTCACCACCACCTGCCTGGACCTGCTGGACAGCTTCACGCTGCTGGAGATGCTCCTCCGAGGGGAGGTGCCCTCCGTCTACCTGAAGTACACCGTCATCAGCGCCTACTTCGTGGCCCTGGGGGCCCCGGTGGTGTGGCTCTATGAGCTGAGCGCGGCGGAGCTCCGCTGCCGGTGGCTGTGGGCCCGCTTCTCCACCGGGCTGCTGGTCAACGCCCCGCTGTTGGTGGTGCGCTGCTTCCAGGTCTTTGTTTACAGGATGCCGGTGTCGGTCTTCATGTTTAAGAACGTCTTCCTGCTGCTGTGCGGCCTGCTGGAGCTGCTGGAGCAGTGCGCAGCGCTGCGGGGCCTGCCAAAGCGGACTGGAACCAGCAACCCTTCCCAGTTCTCCCACTGCGTGTCCGACAGCGACATGAATCCCCACGGATACGTCAACACCCTGGCCGTCACTCAGTCCTAGGGGCCCGCGGGGACCGGGAGGGGAAGGAGGCCCCATGGGGCCCCGCATGGACAGTTAGGCAGGCAACAGTTGATAATTGAGGGTTATTTAGCTTTTTTTTTTCAAGAGAAAAATAAGTTGTTGTTTTCAGGTCATTTTCAATTCTATTCCCTTTATTTCTATAGTTTCACAACACAAGTCATC